ATTGCCAGATATGGTGCCAGAAGATGAGCTTCTCAGGTTGGAAGGCACTCAGAATTTGACTGGGAAAGAGCTGCTCCTCAAAGCAGAGTTGACCGTGATGAAGAGAATGGAGTAGAGTCCCTGGGACCTTCATTTGCTGAAGGGGCACAATTCAAAATGAAGAGAAACAGCTGTTAACATGCATTAATAATAGGAGCATGGGATGTAACAAAGTATGAATCTATAAAAATTGGGAATTGTAAACAATGAAATGGAATGCATAAACATTGATATCATAGGAACTTGTGAGCTGAAATGGACTGGTATTGGCCATTTTGAATCTGACAATCACATGGCTTACTATACTGGGAATGACAAATTGAAGAGGAATGGCATTGCATTCACCATCAAAAAGAACGGTATCATTCTGTTTTGAATCACAATTCTGTCTGTGATAGGATATATCCATATGCCTATAAGGAAGACCAGTCAATACCATTATTATTCAAATTTATGCACCAACCACTAAAGTCAGTGATTATGAAATTGAAGAATTCTACCAATTTCTTCAGTCTCAAAACGATCAAATTGCAATCAAGATGTATTGAGAATTACTAGCAATCAGAATGTAAAGGTTGGAAACAAAGATGAAGGATCAGTAATTGGAAAATATGGCCTTGGTGATAAAAATTATTCTGGAGAACACATAATAGAACTTTGCAAGACCCATGACTTGTTCATTGCAAATACCTTTTTTCAACATAAAAGATGACTATACTAATGAACTGCACCAGATGGAATATACAGAAATTAAATAGAATTAATCTGTGCAAAGAGACAGTGGAAAAGCTCTATGTCACCAGTCAAAACAAAACCAGAGGTAGACTGTGTAACAGATCATCAATTGCTCATATACAAAATCTGAAGAAAATTAACACAAGTCCACAAGAGCCACAATATGACCTTGAACATATCCAGCCTGAATTTAGAGATCATCTGAAGAACAGATTTGATGCATTAGACACTAAAGACTGAAGAACAGATGAGTTGTGGGATGACATCAAGAACATCATACAGGAAGAAAGCAAAAGTTCATTAAGAAGATAAGAAAGATGGAAAAGACCAAAATGGATGTCAAAAGAGACTCTGAAACTTGCTCTTTATAGTAGAGATGCTAAAGCAAATGGAAGAAATGAGGAGGAAAAGGAGCTGAACAGAAAATTTCAAAGGTCTGTTCAAGAAGACATAGTCAAACAATGAAATGTGCAGACTTAGAGTTAGAAAACCAAAAGGGAAGAACATGATCAGTATTTCTCAAGCTGAAGGAACAGAAACAAAAATTCAAGCCTCTTTGCAATATTGAAGGGTTTTATGAGCAAAATATTGAAAGATGCAGAAAGCATCAAGAGAAGATGGAAGGAGAACACAGAGTCAATGTACCAAAGAAATGGTCAATGTTCAACCATTTCAAGAGGTAGTATATGATCAAGAGGCAATGATACTGAAGGAAGAAGTCCAAGATTCATTGAAGGCATTGGCAAAGAACAAGGCATCGGGAAGTGATGGAATACAAACAGAAATCTTTCAACAAACTGATGCAGCACTCAGAAGCATTTACTCATCCATGCAAAGAAATTTGGGAGGCAATTACCTGGTCAACTGATTGGAAGAGATCTGTATCTGTGCCTGTATTAAAGGGAGGTACCCAATAGAGTGCAGAAATCATTGGACAAAATCATTAATAAGGCATGCAAGTAAAATTTTGCTAAAGTAATAAAAAAAAAGTCTACAATCATACATTGACAGAGAACTTCCATAAGTGCTAGATTCAGAGGATGACATGGAATCAGATATATCATTGCTGACGTCAGATGGATCTTGGCTAAAAGGAGACAATACCAGAAATGTTTACCTGTGCTTTATTGACTACACAAAGGCTTTCTATTGTGTGGATCATGACAAACTATGGACAACATTGCATAAAATGAGTATTGCAGAACACTTACTTGTGCTCATGACGAACCTGTATATAGACCAAGAGGCAGTTGTTTAGACAGAACAAGAGAACACTGAATGGTTTAAAATTAAGAAAGGTGGGCTCCATGGTTGTATTCTTTCACCATATTTGCTCAATCGTATGCTGAATAAAGAATTCAAGAAGCTGGATTATATGAAGAAAAATGTGGCATCAGGATTAGAGGAAGACTCATTAACAGTGTGCAATATGCAGATGACACATCTCTGCTTGCTGAAAGCAAAGAGAACCTAAAATACTTACTGATGAAGATGAAGACCACAGCCTTCTGTATGGGTTGCACCACAATGTAAAAAAATAAAATAAAATAAACCTTTACCACTGGAACAAAAACCAACATGCATATAATTGGAGAAAAGTTTGAAGTTGTCAAAGAATTCATTTTGCTCAGATCAATCATTAACACTCATGGAAGCAGCAGTCAAGAAATCAAACGATGTATTACATTAGGCAATTCTGCTGCACAAGACCACTTTAAAGTGTTGAAAAGCAAAGATTTCAGTTTGAGGGTTATGGTGCATGTGATCCAAAGCATAGGTTTTTCATTAACATCATAT